AGGTATCACCCGCCTTGTGGTGTCCCACCTGTGGCAACACCTGGGCATCATGCAGGCAGGTTCTGGCTGGTATTTAAGGGATGATTTGCAAATGTGACAATGCAAAACAGGATTTGGCCCTTGCCCTTTGCTGGGTGCATGGAGCAGCAGCAGCAGCACCACCACCACAAGAGGAAGGGCTCAGCACCATGGCAGCATTGAAATCGGACGCCTCTCTGGAAACGCACGCGAGGGTCAGCGATTGGAAATTCATCGTTGTTTCTGTTCAGACCAAACGATGGTCAGCGATTGGAAATTCATCGTTGTTTCCATTCAGACCAAACGACTGGGTTTCAACAGCAAAGAAAAGGGGAAATGCATGTTTGCAGGCCAGGATAAAGCACTGCTTTACATCATGTTTCTGGGCAAATCTCCACTGTTTTTTCAGCCAGGTTTGAGGACAGGAAAAGGGGAATTTGGCCTGGGACACCAGTGTAGGCAGAGGCATTGGCAGCCCCTGGGAAGGCATGGCATCAAAACCCGGGTGGCCTCCCGCTCTCCCCCGCGCCTGGGCGTTCATCTCATGGTTAAAGCTTCATGCAAGACCATGGCGAAAGCACCTGGGGTGCAAAGGCAGGAACAGGGTGCCCAGTCAGATGACAGAGTGCTTCCACAGATCAGGATTTACCCGTGGTCAGGGAGTGGTTGTAACACAACCGCTGTGTTGCATGGTGTGGTCAGTGCTGGACAGCCGTGGGGCTCCTTCTTCCACCTTCCCCAGGTACCCCTGCCTTCCACACACCTCACCAGGGCTCTGCTCTCTTAACAGCACCCTCCTCTCTCAGCCTCAGTGCTGTCTTGGTTGTGATTCCTGCCCTTGGTCTGCCCAGCTGGTGATGGGATGGGGTGGATGTGTCGCACCCTCTGCCTTTTGGCCAAGCCAGCATCCCCCTTGTGCCATGGTCTGCTTTCCTCCCGTACAGGCTGCTGGTCCTGCTCGGGTCAGACAGGCTCACTGAATCACCAAAAACCAAGTTGCGAGGTGTTCGTCCGTCCGTCCACCTGCACATGGCAGGATCGAACCTGCTTAGGTCCTTCCCAGCTGGCGTGACTCAGACTCAATCTCAAAAACTCCCAGTTGGGTTGAGGATGCCCTTTCCCCACCGCGCCTGCAGCCGTGTGTCTCTCCACCCTGATGGAAAGCTTTTCCTAACACCCACCCTAGATCTCCCTCGCTTCAGCTGAAGCCCATGTTATCCCAGAAAACCAGGCCAGACTAGGGTGGAAAACCTGATTCCTGGTCTCCTGGAGCAAGCTACGAGCTTGCCTAGGTTGGTAAAGAGACGGGGAACCTGTTGTCCCAGGGGCAGTGTTTGCGAGTGGGTCTGGTGCTGCCCTGCTGTGCCACCCGACCAAACCAGTGACCCAACAGCTATACTGGTGTTTCTGGCCCAAGAGAAAAAAATCATTGCTGCTTTGTGGTCGTTTCTTGACCAGGGCAAAGGCAGGAGGGGCAGGCACGACGTGCACACGGATTGTGCACAGGACACGAGAATCTCAGCAACTTCTTGTAACAGAAACGCAGAGGGTGGACAATGCAGACGTGTCTCAGTGCCGGTGAGATCTGGGGTCTTGACTCTCCCTGCAGCAATTTTTCCTCTTGGGAAATGACCCCTTTCTCCTGGTTTTCCAGACCTCTCTGCCCCAAAGCTGGGCAAGTGATTGCCTTTGCAACTGCTCTTCTGGTCGTTAGGGTTGCAACACTTGCTCAAATGCTCTTTCACCCCTTCAAGTCCGGGGGGGTCTGTCTGTCTTTTTTTTTTTTTTCCCTTCCTGCCTTCACAAAACCGTTCACAGGCATGCTGCCCAGCTGGAATAATGTGTCACACAAGGAAAATCTCTTTTTTTAATCCCTTTTTAGACCAGGTTGTCTGTGACCTGACCTGGTCACCATTGTTCTTGGTATTATCAGGAGAGGTTGATAGGACATATTGGTTACCTTTCTCTTCGCCTTTAATTATTCACGGAGTGGAAACAATAAGAGACATTCTTTTGTCTCCTTTATGCAGATGAACCCGCTGTTTTGGAGGCAGAAGACCTGGACCGAAAAGCCATGAGACAGGGATGTGGACTGGAGCCAGACACCATCTCCCTGGCCTCCGTCACAGCTGTCACCACCAATGTCTCGAATAAGAGGTGAGGTCCAGATGTGCACTTGTGCAAGCCAGGAGGTGAGGCTTGTGAGGTGTGCGAGCACACAACCCTGTGTCCCATGAGGCGGGGTATGTTGGAAATCACATTGCCCCATACAGCCACTGTTTTTTGGAAATACCTGACGTGCTACCAAGAGCACCGATGTTCAGTGGTGTTTCACAGCCCCCAGGTTTTATATCCTTCAGATTCAAAGAGGGCAGGGGCTCTGAGGGGTGACCCTGCGGATGCTCCGTCACAGCTTGCAGCAAGTCCATCAGTGGTTTGACTGAGGGTTTCTTCTGCCCCTCCAAAGGTCCAAGCCTGACATCAAAATGGAGCCGAGTGCTGGGAGGCCAATGGATTACCAGGTGGGTGACAACGCTGTCTCCCCAACCTCAGCTCATGGGGGTCACAACCCAGCGGGTAGGGGGGACCGTTTTGCAGGGAACGAGGTCGTGCCGGGTTTCAACACACTGCGCTCGCGAAGCACGACTTCCCAAGAGCTGCCATTTAAATGGTTGAGCCATAAACTCGAGATTAAGTAATTCACTGGTTCTGCCCTCCATCCTGTGAAGCCCAGAAAGCCCAAATTAATCTGAGATTGAAACAGGCCCTCTCTAATACTTCTCTCTCACTCCCCAGGAGCATTCAGTACGCTGTTTAGTGTGCAAGGTTGGCGAGCCCTGGCTGGCAGTAGGTTGCTCACTGGGTTTGGTCGAACAGGCTGGTACGTGGCTGCTGTCGTCCTGTTCAGTGATGCTCCATTCCTGCCACTTTATCTAGAATTAGAAGAACCACACGTTTAGTTTCCCCAGGCTCTGATGATCCATGCTGCTCCCTTTTCTTTTACTAGTTGGTGTCAGCGTGATTCATAAATTGGCTTCTCTTCTCCTTTTTGCCAAGTCGTGCTGATTCAGCAGCCATTTAGCTTTACATCCTCGCCTCTCAGCACAGCAACACCTTCCTGGGGGTATCTCGAAACACTGCAAATAGCAACTTTTTGCTGGAGACTTATTGCAGAACATTTGCAGCATCTGCTGCAGAGCAGGTTGTGAGGCTTACAGGGAACGAGCGTGCTTGGTTCAGGGGAGGGGGAACTTAAAGAACGTAAAGAGGAGGGGGAAGGCGCAAAACAAACTACAACAGAAGGAACGCAAGGTTCAGTTATTTGGCCGCTGCAAACAGGAGGATCACAAGGTTGGTGTTAATGGGGAATGGCTGATTTCTGGAGGATTTGCAGTGCTAGGCTGGTTCATGAACGAGGTACGTGCCTGGCTGACCTCCGTCTGTCTGCTTTCCTTTGACACCTGGCTTTTGTGGAACATCTGAGAATTGAGAGGAGAGGACTTTGTCTTCCAGACCTCATCTCTGGGAAACCTCGAGGCGCTGCCTCGGTCGGTGGCAGCGGAGGGGATGGGAGGCAGGGACCAAGGGTTGACGCAGGATGGTGCCCAGCAAAGCCCCCTCCGGGAGCTGGTGTGGGGCAGGGCAGGGGTGGAGGAGAGGTCTGGGTGCAGGGATGACCCTGGCTGCAAACCTCCCTGGAAGGCGTTTGGGATGTTGGGATGCTCCCACGTTGTCCATCAAGAGGGAACCCGAGCTGGGTTCCGTGAGCCGCTGCAGCTCGTGGGGCTGGGATCGGAGGTCGCGTTTGCACCTCAGCTCCTCTGCACGAAGTCGCATCGTGCACTGATAAAGGCCAGCTGGAGAAGGCATGTGAAAATTAATTCATCTCTTGGACTTCAAGATAGCCGGGACTGAGAGTTCATGTTATTTTAAAAAAATATTTTTTAAAGGATACGCAAATTCACTATGCTTTGAAACCTGGAGGTTACCTGTCCTACCACCAACTTGTGAGAGTTTTTAGAGAAGACTCTAGAAAAATGGCTGCTGGGGATTGAAAAGATTTGCTGCCTACATGGAATTACAGCTTCTGTTTTTTATTTAAGTTAAGAAATTTAGGCATAATCTAAGCAGGAGTTCCTAATATAAATTTAATATGGCAAGGAAGGAATTTAAATACCTAAAAACCTAATATTAATTTAATGTCTCAAAGTGGATTGAACTGTGAATGACAAACTTCTGTTTCATCTGGGTGATTTGCTCATATTCTGTTGAAAGTAGTTTATTTTTCATATACCACATACAGGAGTACTTAAATAAGATGGCATGTCATTATGCATGCATATAGGAGGGTTGAACCATGAAATGGTGGGGAACGCTCCAGAAACACTATAGAGTAGAACAGAGTATTTCCATTGGAAGGGACCTACAACAAACATCTAGTCCAGCTGCAACCCCTTGTGGTTTCTAGCAGAGGCAAGCTGAGCCAGCCGGGGTCTCGCCAACCCAACCTTCGCTCCTACAGTTAGCTAAATCCGTTTGACTTTGCACCTCGTGTGAAGCCACCCACACTCGGAGGCTGAAGCAACAGGGATGCCCAGGATCTCCTGCATCCCCCACCATGTTGCAGGCTTGTCCGAGCAGCCCAGCGTCTTTGCTGTGACCCGTAGACCCCAGAGCTGCCACCGTTGCACTGAAAATGCCTCAAAAACGAGACATGGAAAGATAGGGGTTAAGGCAGCGAGCGGCATCTGATGCTGCTCTCAGGAGGTGAAGGTGAACGAATCGCTCTCCCCAGGTCAGCATCACCGTCATCGAGGCCAGGCAGCTTGTTGGGCTCAACATGGACCCTGTGGTCTGCGTGGAGGTTGGAGAGGAAAAGAAATACACGTCCATGAAGGAATCGACCAATTGCCCTTACTACAATGAGGTGGGTCTGTTCTCCGGTGATGTTCATGGCTACCCGCTCCTCAGGGTCTATGCTGCTGTCAGTCAATTAAACGTAATTTCGTCACTTGGGTTTTTTCTTTTTTTTCTTCTGTCTCCTCTCATCGGAATGAGATGAAATCTCAAACCACGCAGAAGGAGAAATGAAGCCTTTGCTCTCTGATATTTTGCGAACATGGTAAAAAGTGCACTCATGTGATCTGTGCTACATCATTCCCAGTTTTTCTAAGAAGTCAGTGCTTTCTCCTAGTTCCTCGGACTGCAGGGGTTGTCGGTGTTGGGGCTGACACGGATGCAGCCCTGCTCTGACGTGTGCTGCAGGATGCTCCTCTGGGCAGTCACAGCTTCTCCAGCTGGACCATGCACCGCAGTGCTGCCTCTCACTCCCAAAGGAGCCCACCCCGGCTCTCCTGCATTTCCCTTTCAGTACTTCGTCTTCGATTTCCACGTCCCCCCAGATGTCATGTTCGACAAGATCATCAAGCTGTCTGTAAGTCAGCATGATTACGTTGCCCTTTTCACGGGGCTTTGGAAGAAACCGACCCATTTTGTGTATGCACTGGGGATGGGTTTAAGGTCCTCGATGTGAGACCCCCAACAGGAGCCAAGGTGTTCGGCCCTGCGAGCCTCACCTCTTTTGCAGACCCCCAGTCCCTCTTTCTGTTGCTGACCTTCATTGCTGGGTCCACACAGGTCCACTCCTGCGTTCGCTATCTCCCTCCGTGGCTGATCTCTCGTATGTCAGAGCCAGGCAGAACTACACCTGTCCTGGGATGTGTTTAGGCGTGGGGAGAAGAAAGACCATCCCGAGCCTGCCAGAGGATTCCCTGGGAAGTGGGGCTGGCAGAGCTATTGTGGAAATTCAGGACTGCAGATGCTGAGAGCAAAGCAGAGGCTGCAGCCACGGAGGAAGGCAATGAACAAGATTTGCAGATTCACTGACCAAAGCACACTAATTAGGAGTATCTATATCTGTCCTATGCACAGACCAGCTGTACAATTCTTCCCACAAAGGGAATTAGCTCATAGATTTTGAACATCCTGAAGACCCTTCCTTCAGGTAAATAGCCCAGTGTTTGTTGCCATAGTGGCTGGAAAATTGCATCTTGTTTCGAAGGTTTATTTCTTTGCTTTTTTTTTTTTACTCAATCCAAGTATACACTTGCTTGCCATACTACTAAGCAAGAGCTGCCAACCGCACCGTGCCTCTTAGTGTCCTTATACAGACCAAGGGAAATGCATCAGCTCCTTTCCCATCTGACACTGAACGCCTCTGGAAAGAGCCTTATGGCTCTCAGGGCATGGAAAAAACCCTGACTTGTTTTCCCCTCTCAATTTCCAGGTGATCCACTCAAAAAACCTTCTGCGCAGTGGGACTTTGGTGGGCTCCTTCAAGATGGACGTCGGAACTGTTTATACCCAACCTGGTAGGTAAACGCTGTTTGCAACTAGTCCTATGTGCCTGCCTGCGCCAGTGAATAAATGTCCTTGCGAGGTGTCCGGGCAGGTGCTAGCTTCCTTGGGTGATGCCCATATAACTTAGTGTTAGCATCCTAGACGTGAGTCACCTGGACCCCCTCTGCGGTCAGGGAAGAGCACTCAGCACCTCCGGAGAAGGTTGTATATCCCATCCTGAATTAGGGCGTTACAGCCAGAGGCTGAGATGCCTTCTGGGTGTGCTGGTCGCTACCCACTGACCTGCTGAGGGAGGAAGCCCAAGGTGACTTGCTTAGGCAAGATATCAACCTTCCAGACAGCTGAAGGTGATGGGCTGGATCTTGCCCTCTGTGGCTGGCATTTAAACGGAGAAGGGAGGATGTCTGGTGTGCAATGGGAAAGACGGAGAGGTTGATTAGAGCTGCTGTCGTGTTACTCACTGATGAGAAACAACAGCAATGCCCGTTTGAGGGCCCGGTGCTCGCAGCATGCCAGAGCTGAACACACAACGCCCCTTCAGAAAAGGTCCTCCAAACTAAAGGCTTTTTTTTTTCTTTACTCCTATGTCACACCTATTGTGACACTCTACCTCTGTAAATAAGCCTGAGAGCTAAGATGTGAATGAAGCCTCCAGAGTCTGCACTTGAGGGGTGGTCAGCAGATGATGAGGGGGACCTTAAGGGAGCACCGAGTCTGGTTCCCTGCTCCACCGGTGGATGAACATCATCCAAAAGGCACCTGAGACCTTAAAGACTAAGAATCGTAGAGGTTGGAAAAGACCTTTAAGATCATCAAGTCCAACCATTAACCTGGCACTGCCAAGTCCACCACTAAACCATGTCGCTAGGTGCCACATGTACACATCTTTTAAATACCTCCAGGGATGGAGACTTCCAGTGATGGAGACTCCACTCCCCTTCAGACAGTTTATCTCATTGCTTCTCTGTCTTCAACATGAGACACATCTTCCTAATGAATTTTTCAGGGGTTTCTGTCTGAATTCCTCACACCTGAAGATGTCTCTTATGCATGTGTGCAGGTCCCCCCACTCAAGTGGAAGGACGTTTCCAGTCCTTGCAGTAATTGCTGTGTCTCATTCTGATAAATGACTGTCTTGTCCCCTGGCTTCCAGAGCACCAGTTCTACCACAAATGGGCCATCCTTTCTGACCCTGAGGATCTCACCGCTGGGCTGAAGGGTTACCTGAAGTGTGTGGGAAAGGGGACAACATCAAGACACCACACAAAGCCAACGAGACAGACGAGGATGATATCGAAGGGTAAGGGTCTGCAGAGTCAGCTTCACACAGACTTTCTTGGGAATGACTTCACGTCTCTTTACCTTGGATCGTACAATGAGGACAGCATCCCTACCACATCAGGCTGACGGTCCCTCCAGTACACGTACTTACCTTGTGCAGTGAAACCAGAGGGACCAATACGTTGGTTTTCAGAGAGACAAGACGTGGCAGATTACTGGTGCAAATCCAGATCGTATCAAGTACAGGCCACTCATTTCTGTCAGGTCAAACCATCTGCTGGTTGTTGAGATCTCTATACCAACACCAGCCTGATGTCAAGCAACGTGTCCCCACTGTTTACCTAATGCTCCTGTTGGCCCTTGGGTGGGATGATGGGATGGGATGATGGCCAGGGCAGAGCAGGGAGGTCTGGGTAAGGTTTCCCAGGCTGCGTGGGTGCGCAGGGCTCGGTGGTTCCCCAGGGCATCTAAAAGGCTGTGGAAGAAAAATCAGGAGAGTTTAAAACTTAGTTTCAGCCCCAAAACATTTCAGGCTGATAAAATATCTCCTAAGTGTAACCTCAGGCACCACCTGAACTGTCTTGGGCCATTGTTCCATGCTGTAGTGATGATATTATCCCACTTTTTCATGGGCAACTCCAGCAAGTCCTCTAGAAATTGTTTTGTTCACAGCATCCCCCATGGCTCTCATTTCTTCCCTCAGAAGAGGAAAACCACGTACACCAAGAAAAACAATTTGATGGAGTTCAGTTCTCACCCCAAAATTAATCACCCCTACTCCCCTTGTGCCCCGCTAAAGAAAAAGCTCTTCTAACATGCCATTCATCTGGCCTGCTTTAGATGTCTACATTAGACTGAGTTTAATTGTCCTCTAGACTCCGCTGACAATAACTATTATATCCCTTTAGCGGAATGCACATTGTCCCAGGGGCACCTCAAGGGGCTCCTCTAAGATTTTGCTTATGAAACCACTGCTCCCCATCCCAAAAGAGGAGGATGGGCAGAAACAGGACAACAGTAGAATATACAGCTGCAGAAATGGTCGTCTTTCCACCTCCGCAAAGCCTGGGCTCAGAAAGTGGGGCAGCTTCTCCTGCTTTGGTAAGCCCTTCCTAAGAAACCTGCCATCCCCAGCAGCTGGTTCCAGCCCTATCTGTTGGCATTGCAGGAACCTCCTCCTCCCAGATGGAGTCCCTCCGGAGAGGCAGTGGGCTCGTTTCTACATCAAGATCTATCGAGCAGAGGGGCTGCCCCGTATGAACACCAGCATCATGGCCAACGTGAAGAAGGCTCTCATTGGGGAGAACAAGGACTTGGTAGACCCCTACGTGCAGGTGGTCTTTGCAGGGCAGAAGGTGAGCAAGCTACCTGAGGTGCCAGGGTGACTCTGGAAGGTAACGTGAGCAGGACTGGCCTTTGTACAGGTGGCCAGAGATGATCTCCATTGTGCCAGTGTGTAGATGCTGAGATGCATGGCAAAGCCCTGTTGTTTGCTGTGTTTCCCCTCTCTTGTGCAGGCTGTGATGGGTTTGGAGGAGCTTATTACTTGGGAGAGGAGAGTCGCAAGACAGAACACATGTTTCGTTAGCAAGGGAGCAGTTCAGGTGGTGAGGGATGGCTTGGGAGCTCAAACCCTTGTCAGACATCTGTCTTCTCCCACTCGGCAGGGAAAGACATCCATACAAAAAAGCAGCTATGAACCTCTCTGGAATGAGCAAATAATCTTCACGGAAATGTTCCCCCCGTTGTGCAAGCGGATAAAGATCCAGATCCGAGACTCAGACAAAGTCAACGATGTGGCCATTGGTACCCATTTCATTGATTTGCGGAAGATCTCTAACGAGGGAGACAAAGGTAAAGCCAAGTGAGGGGCGTGGGGGCAGACTGAGCTACCTTCTTCACGGTAGAGAGGTATCCCTTTGGCAGAGAGTCGGCAAAACAGCCTAGGCTCCTTCCCTGCCCCACTTGCTGCACAACTGGAGAGACTTTGATTCACTGCAGTGGTCTTCTGAGGTCACTGGACATGCGCTCTTTGAAAACCAAGCCCTGTCACAAGCCTCCAGTCTACCACTTGAAAGCAAAGACACCCAAGAACAAAAAATTCAGTGCCATGAACAGGTGAATATCTAACAGGCTCCCCTGTTCACGCACAGACGAACACACCAGCGTATGTAGGCAGGAGCGATGTGAAACCAAAGATGCGTCTAGAAAGGGCAGTAATGGGGGTGGTTCTTTTTTCTTGACTCTCACGTTGGGTAACTTACCCAACATATGATTGCAATTGTGCGTTTCCATGCCCACACATTTGCATATTCAAGCCTGCATCACCATACACAGACCAGGAAAGCGATGCCGATCCATGAGCGAGTTTGTACCCTGAGACAAAGACATGCCCTCCTTCTTGCGCATCCCCTTCCCTACGTGCATGTCCGATCTGCTGCAGGCTTCCTGCCCACCTTTGGCCCCGCGTGGGTGAACATGTACGGCTCCACTCGGAACTACACCCTGATGGACGAGCACCAAGAGCTGAACGAGGGTCTGGGCGAAGGCGTCTCCTTCCGGGCCAGGCTTTTGATGAGCCTTGGCGTGGAGATCTTGGACACCAGCAACCCGGAGATCAACAGTTCCACCGAGGTGCAAGTCGAGCAGGCCACCTCAATTGCTGATGTAAGTCACCCCTAACCCTACAACTGCTAGTGGTGAGTCTTGGGTCTTGGTTAATTATCTTTGGTCTCTCGAACCAAGGATTTCATTTAGTGTTGCCCTAAATGTTCTGGATCCTGGGGGATCCAGAACGAATGCAAATCTTGCAAGGACTTTATATTTTATGATCCTTCGAATGCTCGCCTCTCTTAGGAGTGCTGGGCAGAAGGACTATCTGCGTGAGGGAGAATCCTAAACCTCGAGATGTTTCTCCAGTTGGGAGTTAGACAAGGACAAAGAGCCATCTCCTAACGCCAGCTGTCTCACTCCTATCCTGAAGATGGGTTTCAAACAGAAACCAAGAATCTAATCTGTTTCCCAACCAGTTCTCTGGTCAGAGAAACTGAACGGCTGTTCCCTGACAAGAGAAGCCCAACAGCCTTAGTTCTGACACGTACAGCCCGCAAGGCTGCTGCCCGGGCTCTGCACAGACAGACACATCCAGGCTTGTCCTACCTCGGGCTGCCTACGTATGCCCACCCATATGAGCCAAGGGTGTGAAGTAGAAATGGAGAAGTCTGACGGCAGTGCACCCTCTGTGTGAAAGCTCTCCTTCAGGAGTAGAGTGGCCTTAATTCACCTCCAGGGAGAGGAAGCCACCTGGAAATAAAACCATTCCAGTTCTGAAAGAGCATCCAGGCAGATGGCTTGGTGTGCTTTGATTAATTCAATTTGTGAGTGAACTCAGGCTGGTATTCCTGAATGTCCGTTAGACAGTCCCTCAGGCGCAAGGGGTGACTGATCTCAACACATTTCAAAGTCAGGCTAAAATCTTTAATTAAACTCTCTCTGCAATAAATGTAGAGGTGGCTCAGCCTGGGGGGGAGAAAACCCTCGTGGTCCCCTTGAAAGCCTTCGCGGAGCCCATGAGGGTGCTTAGAAATGCCAGGGGATGCATGCAGCCCCCTGCCCAAGGTGTCCCTCCGGCTGACCTCAACCCTTGTCCCCATGATTTTTCCTGCAGAACTGCACTGGGAAGATGGAAGAGTTCTTTCTCTTTGGAGCCTTCCTGGAAGCTACCATGATCGACAGGAAGATTGGCGACAAACCCATCAACTTCGAGGTCACAATAGGTTGGTTGTTTTTGGGGGAGGGTAGTTTTGAAGCATACCTGGTAGGGAATGCAGAATCCAAGGCTGAGAGTGGGGTTTCTTCCCCATTTTCCGTACCAACACATGCTAGAGCATGCAGGGCTCTCGGTTTAGGGAGAAGGTGATGGCTGCTCTACCAGTAGAAGCCATGCGGGTCACCGAATCTTCTTTTGTGTGCATGCGGTGCTGTGGCCAGTGCAGCTGCTCCCTCGCTCACCGTGGCTTTGTGCCTCCTGAGGCTGACCACCAAGGGGAGGGTGAATATCCCGACTGGCTCGAGGGGACATGAGCAAGGGACAGGCACCCGTCACTAATTTATGGTGCCGGGGCATGGTTTCAGAGAGTTGAAGTCTACTGTCCCCCATGGTTCCTGCAGGGGAAACTTCTCCCCAACCTGAATTAAAGCCCAGAGACTGAGCCCGATTGGAGTTACAACGCTGTGACTTTATTTCACCTTTTTTTCTTGAGGTAACTATGGGAACCAGATTGACGGCATGACCAAACCCATCCTACGGAGGAAGAAAGAGGGAGGGGATGGTGATGAGGAGGAATCCGAGCTGCTCCAGAACTCAAGTGAGGATGAAGGTGATGAGGATGGAGAGATGGTCTCTGTTTCTTCATCTCAACCCGTGAAGCCCCTGGTCACAGACAGGTAAGGGTGCCCACCTGGCCACTGCAGTGCCACTGGGCAGAGATGTGGCTCTCAATTTGGACACGGTCTGTAGGTGTTCCCACGCGTGCTGGCTGTCCCAGCTCCCACCGATGTCTGCAGAGGTGAAGTCAGGGCCATGGCAGGGCCTGGATTCATTCGACCAAACAGACCTGGGAGCAGCCGTGGGGACCAGATCTCCATGCCCTGTAAAGGGAGATTAGATACCACGTGCAGATACCTTGTCTTTAGATACTGCAGTCTGCCAGCTGAACCCCCACCCCATTCCCTACAGTTCTGAGCATTCCTGTGCATTCTCTGATGTCCAACAAGGGCTGAAGTCACCTCCCAGCCTACCCTACAAAGAGCATCCTCCATCCGCCTGGCCAGACGGGCACCCAAAACTCAAGGCTGTCTGATACCTTTCGTGCTCTTCCTCTATGGCAAATAGGGATGATGTTAACCAGTGGATTCAAAAAGTCATCGGTGGGCACTGACAAAAAGAGGTTCACTCCCGTACACAGAAGTTTCGTAAATTTAGGAAACCAGTCTATAAAGAGGTCCTTCCTCAGGGTCACTGCCACCCTCGGTGGCACAACCCAGTAGTGCGCGGCAGGGAGGGAGGTCTGGGCTCTGCATCTGTGCTCTCTCCAGCTGCCCGACACCTAAAAACATCGCGAGCACCATGGGGAGAAAAGGAAAGGTCCACCTAGAGAGAAGGCATCGATTTCTGAAGTGAGGGTAGTTTGTGCTGAGACAAGCTGCGTTTCTTCGTCACTTGGGATCTTAAAAGCTAGACGAGGTTGCTGACACGCAGAGAGGAGAGGATGCAAAAACTGCTGGAAAAAGTAGCAGGAGACTGGGGTAAAGGACTTAAAATCCTCTCACGCTCCCTCGTTTGCAGCATCTCTCTTTTGGTCAGTCTGTCTGTACCCATTGCTTACGGCACTGACAGCCAGACTCTGGTCTTCAACAGAACCGGGATTTGGGAAACGGGGTCCTGCCCTGGGTCTGTCGATGCACAGCTGGTTGTCAGTGGACAAATCACTTCTGTTTTCCCTACCTCAGTTTCTCCAGCTATAAAATTAAGGCAATTTTTTTATCTGCTTTACAAATTGCTTTGTGATGTGCAGGTAGCAGTCCCCCTAAAACACAGACAAGAGCCAGACAGCTGCACGTGTGATTCTGGTGGGTGGTTGCCACCCCGAGCAGCTGGATCAGAAAGCCCCAAACTGAAATGTCCTGGCATGTCGGGGCTGGGCTTCTCCCACAACCGGGATTTGAATACAAAGGACTGGTACTAAGGAAAGCTAATTGGATTTAACCTGATGAGGTATGCTTAAAGTGGATTTTAACCGTGTTATACTGGTAGATTGATGTTAATAGAATTAACTGTGTGACTTAATTCAATTGGGCAACGAAACAAACCACACTGAATCGAGGGTGTTTGCACTGCAGGTAAAAGTGTCTACCTGGGGTTCCCTCCCTTGTTCACCAGCTCCTTGCCAAGGTGAACGCCGACCGGAGATGAGGAGCACTGATGTTTTCCGAACCTGTCCCCTGGGCTCTGGCTGATGCTGTTGGCCCAGACATCTCCAGCCCCTGGGTGCTGGGAGCCTCACGCTCAGCCGTGGGCTTCTACTGACATCTTCTGGCTGGAAACACCCTGATGGTCGGGGAGGATGAGCTGAAACTGGTTTTTACCTAAGGGTGATCCCAGAATGGAGCAGGATCTGCAGTGGATCCCGGCTCACGGCCAGTTCTCAGGCACCCAAGAAGCATGAACCCATTCGTCAGCCTCGTCCTTCCTTTAACCGTACCGTAACTGTTACGGCTCCATCCCACCGCAAGCGGAAACCTGCGGGCTCTGCAAAGGGCAGAGACCGCTGCCCGCTGTGAAGCCCAGGGGACTGTAGGAGATGCCCACCGGCATTCAGAAAAGGGTGTTGATGCTTCGGGTTCCCTTGTGCCCCTGCTCACGCTGCTGCCACGCTGCAGATGTTTGCTCTCGGCTGGGCTATGGGTGAGGTCCTGGGAGTGGGAGCATCCCTAATTTCTCTCTGGGCCACCAGATCTGAGGTGGTAAATTTGCAGTCCCTGAGCACTGCACCCATCCATGCTGGCTCTGGCATTGGGAAGGGTGCTAGGAGAGATGGAGCCTCTTCTTCAAGGTTCAAGTCACCTCAGCCCCCTCTGTTCCATGCCTGACCTCCTATACACCGCCTCCCCGTCACAGCATCACCTCCCTGGGAGAGGTGTGGGACTGGGGCTGTTTCTGACCGGGAATGTTACCACCACAGAGCGTCTCTTCTGCCTCCTCTCGCAGGAACTACTTCCACCTGCCGTACTTTGAGAAGAAGCCTTGCATCTATATCAAGAGCTGGTGGCAGGACCAGCGCCGCAGATTGTATAATGCCAACATCATGGACAAGATTGCGGACAAGCTGGTCAGTACCTGGGAGGGAGGGAAGGAGGGAGGGAGAGGGCTTGGGGCATGGGGCTGGCATGAGGCACATCCAGGCTCCCTGTGCATCTCTGCAGCTTGTCACAAAGCAGGGACAAAGAGTGCAAGGACCTACGAGCAAACTTGTGGCAGAAAGGAGGAAGCTTCCCAGTGCTAAATGCTCCACAGTTTGAATGTCCAAATCCTAGGAGCTCACTGAACCGTCTGTGGGTCAGACCTAGGTGTCCCCACTGAAGGCTGCAGAGGTGGGGAGCCCGCGTCCCCCTGGCCTGCAGGGGTGAACCGGTGCTGTAGCAGAGCCTCCTTAAGTCTCGGCTGATTCCCAAGGAGCCTTTGTGACAGCTCCAGGTTGGCAGGGTCACGGCAGGGTCTGCAAAGGGAGACCCAGCCTGGCAGGTCCAGCCAAGACGGCGTGCGTGGGCCTTGGCCAACCAGTCTCACGGAGGGCGGTGGAGCCATTCCCATCCCCCAGAGCCAGGTCCCCGCAGCCAAACGTGTGCCAGACCTGAGCCCTGAGGCCAGCGGGTCTGGACAAGCGGCAGATGTTTCCCACTGGGCAAGCATAGATGTTCCCCTCTATGTGAGATTGGACCTTGCCCCACCACGGGGCTCTGCCCCACCACCCCCTCACTGCCCCCCCATTGATGCTGCAGGAGGAAGGGCTCAACGACGTGCAGGAAATGATCAAGACGGAGAAGCCGCACCCTGAGCGCCGGCTCCGAGGGGTCCTGGAGGAGCTGAGCAGTGGGTGCTTGTGAGTAAAAGATGGGCGAAGGTGGCACACTGCAGATCCCTCCTCTCTGTGGGCAAGGTCAGGAGCAAAAGCTCACCTTGCCTAATCCTCTGGATGATGGGGAAGCATTTGATCGCATCGGCAGAATGCCCTATCAGCTGCCTTCTGGCTTGGAGCAAGGGTGAGGTGGTGCTTACATCTGCACCCCAAAGACCCCAAAACAGTGGCGAAAGCCTCAGTCTTGTGGCCTCCGCAGGCTGGTACCTGATCGGCACCTACTCCCCGTGCACGACACTGGGCATTGGGTGCAAACAGACCGCTTGGCCACGATTGCGTTGCAGACTGGGGGGAATGAGGGCATTTTCCTCCAGCGAGGTGCCCGGCTGCCAGCAGAGATCCAGCCAGCTACGGCTCCCTGGGGAGAGCCCACGGGATTCATCCTGCCGACCTTTTCCACCAGGCGCTTCGTGACGTTGGCTGACAAGGACCAGCACCACTCTTCCCGCACGAGGCTGGACCGGGAGAGACTCAAATCCTGCATGCGGGAGCTGGTAAGTGGGATGCAGCCAGGCAGGGAGGGGGATTCATGAACGGGGGCTGGATCTTGTCGATGCAACACAGACTTTTTGGTCCTTAGGTATGCTGATTTCCAGTCTCTGTGGATTGAGGGTTTGGGGTTTATTTCTTAATAGAGGAGCCCAAGAGTACTTGGGTCTTGCAGAAGGTCCCAGGTGGCACTTGGGTCCGTGCTGCTGCCTCCCCTCCGCCCCACTCTGCTTTGCCTTGGAAAGAAATTCAGGAGTGCAGCGGGGGAGCTGCGTTGCTGTCAAACCGCTGAGGGAACGGGGAAGGAGTAATTTAGGGGAACCCTGCAGAGCACAGCTGCTCCGGGGATAGATGTGACCTAGATGCTTGGGGCTGGTAGCCCAGCTCCTTCCAAAGGAGTTGGATGTACAAAAGAGATGAACAAAGAGCAGCTGGCGAATCCGGCTGGCACGGCCGCGGACACTGGCTTCAGTAGCCAGCTGCATACTAGAGAGCGATGGATTTAACATGTGAAAGCCTCCACATCCCCTTTTCTGAGCTGTCAGGTGCTGGATTACAGCAGGGTCAGCAGAAGGGGAGAGACTATCCATAACACCAGGCTAGAAGCCACCCCAAAATGCCCTAAGCACAGCTGGCATCTCTCTGTCCCGCACACCTTCTGCTGGGACAGACGCCTCTGCACTGTCAGGGGCCCTCCCTGCATCCTGCCAAGATTGGTGAACGGGTGTCAGAAGTACCACCATCAGGATGCACATGGCTGGATGAAGGCATCTGCCTCCTCACCACCCCTTCCCAAATGCTGGGGACCTTCTTGGTGCTGCTGCTCCCTTCTCTGTGCTCCATTCCGCTCTTGCTGATGCGACGTTCTGGGCTCCCCTTTAACGACAGGAGAACATGGGGCAGCAAGCCGCGACTCTGCGGTCACAGGTGAAGAAGAACACCATGAAAGACAAGCTGAAGCTGGTGCAAAACTTCCTGCAGAAACTCCGGTTCTTGGCAGACGAGGTGAGTCCCTCGCACGTAGAGACAGTGGTAGCTGGGTCAGCGCATGGTGACAGCAGCCTGGGATGGATGGAGACCTCTCTGCAAACCCTGTAGGCAGGAGAGGTCCCTGGTAGCATAAGTCTTGTGCAAGGAGCTTCTCCAAGTCTACTCACTGCCCCGTGCCTCCCAGGTTTGTCCGTGCACTGCTGGGTTGGAATGAGTCGGTGCTAAATCGAATTTAAGAGCATTTCCCAGCCAGGAACAGAGCTGGGTCCTCTTGCAGCCAAGCTGAAGGCACTTCTGCCAGCATCAGCCCTGGCGAGGCCGTGCAGTTCCCTGGGGAGTCAGGCATCCAAAGGTGGCACGTGTCCATGTGGCTTTGAAGGGAGCAGCAGGGAGCCGTTTCTCATCCTGGATAGGTAGGGAGTTGTTAAATTGGCTCTTCAAAGGGCTGTGGGGTAAAGCAGAACCTAAACCGCCTAATTTCTATTGCTGCAGTGTGCTCTTGCTTCACTCCAGCTCACAGGTAAGCGATAATAGCCCGATATATTAGAGTTACTCACAGCATTTCCAAAGGGATGCTGTATCTGCAAAATATTTTTTTCCTTCCTTCAGAAAAATACACCATTCCCGATATTTTTACAGTTTCGGCCTGGGTCAGCCGTCGGGGGTTGTTGGCCGTGTTGGGAGCTGTAGTGGTCGCACCTCCCGTTCTCATTTTCCGTGGCAGGCTCCCAGCCTCGGCTGCGTACCCTTTGTTACAGCAAGGGTACGGCTTTGACTCACCGCGGCAGAACGTAAACCAGACCATAAGGTGTGATGGGACCTGTCCAGACAGGGAACCTCTTCCATAGTAAGGAATGAAGGTGTGGCCCCTGCCCTGCAGTCCTCGTGGCCACTGAATGAGGAGAGAAGGAAAATCTTTAGTCTTCTAATCTATTTTTTTTAACTTTAACTAGAACAAACGTAAATCCCAGTTTCTTTCCTGCTAGGCTTCACCCTGCCGAGTTTAGCTCTGAGCAGCTTTTCTTAAGCAGAGAAACTTCTGCAGGGGGAGGCTCAAAACCATGTCACTGGCCCTACCGTGGCCATAGGTACATCCATCTCCTGTGGCATCTGTTGGATTCGCCTTCAGAAGATCTCCAGCCCCGCTGGTGCCTCAGTGGGCAGAAAGAGCTGAGACACTGACAGGGCTCTTGGTTGGTGTTCGCAGCCCCAGCACACTATTCCCGACATCTTCATCTGGATGATGAGCAACAACAAGCGCATTGCCTACGCCCGCATCCCTTCCAAGGATATCCTCTACTCCATCGTGGACGAGGAGATGGGCAAGGACTGCGCCAAAGTGAAGACCATCTTCCTCAAGGTGCCGGTCTGTCTTTCCAGGGAGAACTGCAGCCAAGAGGAGGGAGGTGGCGGAAGGGCAGGCTGGGAGGATGGGGGATGAAGATGAGGGAGCAGTGTATCCAGTTTTGCTGGGGCTTGAATACTACGCAAACCAGATCCATACTCTACTGGTAGGGGTGGAAGTCTGCTGCTAGGAGGTGTGATCCACTGATCTTACCCAGTCCAGTGAGAGAGAAATGTTTGGAAGGAGAGAGATATTTGATCCAGCTGGCCACAAAAGAGGATGCTGACTTAGAAAGAGGAAGCCAACACGGTGGGAAGAAGATAATGCATGAGCCAGAGTAGTGTCATGATCCAAAATGATGAAGGCTGGATCCCTGGTTTTAAGGGGCAGCGGTACAAGCACCAGTTGAACGCTGCACGAGGCGGTCTGTCCATCTCTAGGGCCTTCCCTATAGCCGTGTAAACTCTTCTGTCCTTTCTGCCCAGCTACCTGGAAAGAGGGGCTTTGGACCTGCTGGCTGGACAGTTCAGGCCAAGATGGAGATGTACTTGTGGTTGGGCCTCAACAAACAGCGCAAAGACTTCTTGAGTGGCCTGCCCTGTGGCTTCAAGGAGAAGAAGACCGCCAGAGGCCAAAACCTGCCATCCTTCCCACCCATCAGCCTCCTTTACACCAGTAAGAGCTTCCTGCCTGCAGTGGGTCTGGGGACAGGGCACGGAGGGGACAGGAGGGAGCCTGGCTGGACACCTCTTGGACCAAGGGCTTCCAGGAGCTAATGGGAAAATAATTCCAGTTGTCCCAGTCTGAGGTCCCACACTGCTCCCACGGGGAGCTGGGGTGTGGGAACTGTGCACCCTGTGATCTACCCTGGTCGTAGCTCTCATTCTGCACCTGGTCAGCAGGATGATGAGGAAGTCCATATCCAGTGGGGACTCATCCTTTGAGCCTGTATCCTTCATCAGTGCTGGTCCTGAGCAGAAACCTGCCCCTGAGACCTCGCTCTGCAGGCTGAGCCCCACGGCTGGGCTCCAGGGCTGCGTATCAAGCTGCCTCCCTTCCCCTCTCTCTTGCAGAGAAGCAGGTTTTCCAGCTGCGAGCCCACATGTACCAAGCCAGGAGTTTATTTGCAGCCGACAGCAGCGGCCTTTCGGACCCCTTTGCACGAGTCTTCTTCATCTCCCAGAGCCAATGCACCGAGGTAAAAACCATCTCCTGACCTGGAGGACTGGCCTCTGGCTTTGCATGTCCCATCACCTCTCCATCCTGCTCCCCTGCCACGGGTCTCGTGATTGCTAGTCAACCAGGGATTAGGGTGATCGTGGGGTCCTGCGGTGGGAAAGCAGCCGTGGCACTGGGGCTTGACTGTCTCCAGGAGCCCCTTCCCCAGGAGCACCTTCACGACCTGTCCCCCCACACCAGCACGCAGCTCCCCACATCTCTGTGCCTGCGATTCACCTGACTGGTTAGGAGAAACTGGAGCATGTTGAACTGGGTTTTGTGTCTTCCCTTCCCAGACTGCCAAGCTTTAGCAAGCCTGGTGGACACCAGGAATAATTTGTGCCTGCTTGCCTGCTGTTGGAGGGTTTTTTCCCTCAGAAGAGTCCTTGGGAGATACCCCATGGCTCACTGGTCCAGTAGAGCTGCCAGGCACTGGAACTGGAGCCTGACACGTGGCGGAGACAGACCAGGGCTGTGTTCATTCTCCAGAGCTCATCCCTGTGACTACCCCATCACAGGGCACTGTTTCGCCCTGATTTTACAGAAAGAGGTAGATAATGAAGCAGAGCAAACAGAAGCATCAGCGCAAGGGATGAACGCTGCGAGCTGCAAGGGCCGAGATCTGCAAAGAGTTCCAGGCCTTTAGTTACCCCCTCCGTTCAGATCCTGTTGTGGATCTGTCCCATCTCCTGCCCCATCAGCCCTACACCCTGTCCCTTCACCCTCGGATCCCATAAACAGCTGCAAACCAAGGCGCTGCGTGGGGAGGACATCGGTACCCAGCAGACTGCAGGCAGCTGTGGTGTACACATCTGCATCACGGCGCCCTTAATTCTCTTAATGAACAGTGACGACAAATGGAAGGGTACACTGCTGCTCATCTATTTTAGCCACACACCTTGCGGAGAGACAGATTGCAGCATAAAAACGTTGCTTTCTTTCCACTGCTCATAAAGGAAAACCTGAGGTGACTATTCTAAAAGTAATGGGGCCTTACGTTGTCCGAGTTAAATATTTTCAAAGCATCGCCCACCCCAGCACTGCTGATGTCCTGGTGAAGGAAAACTGAGACCAACGCGCCGTCTGCTGCCCTTGCAGAGGGCATTAGCCCCTGGCTGGAGCAGTAAGCCCCCCTCCCACTCTTCCAGGTTCTCAACGAGACCCTTTGCCCAACCTGGGACCAGCTGCTGGTCTTTGACAACGTGGAGCTGTACGGAGAAGCTCATGAGATGCGGGATGACCCTCCCATAATTGTCATTGAGATCTACGACCAGGACACAGTGGTAAGATGAATCCCAACAAAGGGAAATGTTTGATTTAGGTGCTGCGATCACTCCTGAGTCAGAGGCCAGGGAGGTGGTGGAGAAGATGTGAGGAGCAGCTTCTCTCCCCACCCTTGGAAGATGGTCCCCCCCACATCTCCCATGCCACGGGCAGCCTCTGCTGCTCATTAGACTTCAGACTCAACCGAATGATACCTTATTTTTGGAGAGTGAAGGAAGAGCTTTTGTGAGGCTGGAGGCAAGGAGACATTAGAAAGGCTGCTCAGCCCTGCCCTCCTTGCCATCCCAGCCCTAGACCACCTCCTTCACCTTATTGGAAGAAGCCAGCAGTGAAAGCTGTCACTGGTGTCCCAGGCCCACTGGGCTGGTCCTGCTCTGACCACGATGGGGAGAGCTGTGGGGCTAACTTGGGAGACCCCGTGTTGGGTCAGCAAACCCAAGTGCTTTCTTTGCCTCTCCAGGGCAAAGCTGACTTCATGGGCCGCACCTTTGCCAAACCGGTGGTGAAGATGTCAGATGAGCACTACTGCCCTCCCCGCTTCCCCCCGCAGCTGGAGTACTACCAGATCTACCGGGGAAACTCCACAGCGGGCGACCTGCTGGCTGCCTTCGAGCTGCTCCAGGTACCAGCTGGCCAAAGCCACCCCAGACCAAGGGAGGGAAAGGATGGGATGGAGGGGGTTGCAAGGGAGCGGGGCTTAACCCGTGCTTATATATCTGAGACGCTGCAAAGAGCAGGTACTTCGTGCATCCTAGAAAAGCTAGAAGGGTTTAGCACCGCTACTAACCCAGGGAGAGGGCAGCTCCTTCCCAGTTATACTGGTCAAGATGATGTGCAGTGAGTCCCAGGCATCCTGCTGGACAGGACACCCCACTGAAGTCTTTTGTTAGCCCAAAATCTGCGTCATCACTGGGATACAGGAGATGCCATGATGTTCTTGGAGATGCCAGTTTGAAGATTTCAGGAAAAAGGGGGGTGAATTCATAGCAGCATCCCAAGAATACGGTGAAATTTTAACCTCATAGTCTGTGGGGGTAGCAGAGTTAAACTCCCCCACTTTCGTGCCTCCTTTCCCATACACCAAAACTGTTGTATCTGTATGGACGTGTCTCAGCTGTCTCCTGGGGTGCACAGGGCATGAGGTGTCTCAGCTGAAAAAGCGAGAGACGCCAGCAAACTCAGCGCAGTGCTGGTGGGCTGTGGGATGTGCAAGGGCCGACCTACCGCGGGCACCTCTTGTGCAGCCGAGCTCCAGCAGGGCGGTGGTCCCAAGGCTGGCCTCGTGTCTGTGCGTGCCAGGAGCAGGCAGTGCCGGGGGAGGTGGACCCTTGGGGAACTATATGCTCCCTCCGCCTCTGGGTCCCCTTTTCTTTCAAAGGAGACTTTGCTTTTACATGCCTGTCTGTCTGCAATGTCCTCAGATGTCCGATGACGGCGGTGGGATCAGGGCAGCCTTGCAGGCTGCTACCCCACTCCCCACGGTGCTTTTCCCATCTCCTTTCTCTGCCAGGGCAGGTGCTGGTCCAAGCCCTTTTTTCCCCCCCAACTTCCCTTGCAGCCGGGTGGTTTCTTTAGGGAACAGCTCACATGGGACATTTCATCTCCCTTGTGCCCTGGGCTGGGAACGGGACCTGAATCCTGCTCCTGGGCTGAGCTCTCGGACCATTTCTGCTTCCCCTCACACCCAGCCCAGGCAGATGCAACTCCTTGCAGGAAGAAAAGGAACAACCCTGGGGCTGGGGTATGTCTGAGGGCTGAGAAGTTTGCGGATCTGTCCTGTGTGGAAGCACAGCACTGCTCAGCACCCTCTGCTCACGTGTGTGCCTTTTCCCGAGGTACCTGCGCTGCCGTCGGCTGGATGCTCAGCATCCCTTGGTGGTCCTGCATCCCCTGAGACAGCACAGACCCATGCCCGAGAGCAGGGTGTGCTGGTCACGGCTGGGACTGACACAAAACTGCTTCCCAGCAGCCAGGCACCAGCTCAAAGGACCAGACCCTAATCCACGCTGCATCTCTTCCAGATTGGCCCTGGGGGAAAGTCAGACCTGCCGCCAATCGACGGCCCCACCGACATGGACCGGGGCCCCATCCTGCCGGTGCCACTGGGGATTCGGCCAGTACTGAGTAAATACAGAGTGGAGGTAATTGCCTTGGAGCACCAAATTTCAGTGTTCAGCGTTACATGGGACAGGGGAGCCTGTCCATGGGTATTTGAAGGCCAGGAGGGATCTTTGAGGCTCTGAGGACCAGAGCTGGGCACTAAGACCAGATGTCTGGGCTGGCTGCACAGGGAGCTGGACTGCAGCAGCACTAAAAGAACAGGGAACTGGATCACTCCTTGCTGTCTTAAACGGGGGCACCGTAGGAAGTAAATGACACTTGGGCAAGGCACGTTAGAGACACGCATGTGTCATTCATCTCCACCCAAAGCCATCGCATGGGTCAGGTAAGCTGCATCCCACCAGTCTCAGGCATCAAGGGCAGGATGCCTCTCATGTATCTGTAGATACCTAAAGGGTGATGTGTCCCATCAGGGTCTCTCTCCCTTGGTTGTCCTGGTAGAAGGTGGTGATCCAGGCGATACAGCCAGGGACGTTCAGTGCGCAATTCACCCATGGTTGTAGGTATCTCTGCTCAGGTGAGATGCTGCTGACCAGATCTCCAGGTCTCTAAAGGAGTCCTAGCTCCTGGTCTTCCACACGTTTGCATCTGGTTACATAAATTGTATTCCTCTGACATGCAAGGTGAATACAGCCATGGGGAATCAGAAGGTGGAAAAATCTCAGTTTAGGGGAACTTTTGATCTTGGTGGTGGTCTGCCTCTTCTTTCTTGGGATAACAAGTTTCCCCAGTGATACTGATGTCATTTTTGACAAAACGATGCCAGTGCTGAATCAAGAGCCACTGTGGATAGACAAAGCTGGTCTGGTCCTGCTCTGTGGAGTCCTATGGCAGAAAAAGGCTAGAAAGGGAGAAGGGCAGTGTTGAGGGCAGCAGGCTGGAGATCTTGGGCTACCGCAGATCAGGTGTGGGGTGGATTATGTGGGGTGTCAGAGAGAGACTGTGCTGCAGCTCTGAGCCATGTGGAGGAGGCGAAGGTACCTCAGGGATCCACCACCGCTCGGGCGATGGCATTTGCAGTAGGGTCACTGCTCCTGGGGATGTGGAGAACCAAATCCAGCCAGGAGCAATCACACTCATATTCATGTTCTTCCTTCTCCTCCTCCTGCCCTAGATCTTGTTTTGGGGGCTCAGGGATCTGAAGAGAGTGAACCTGGCTCAGGTAGACCGGCCCCGTGTGGACATTGAGTGTGCTGGGAAGGGGGTGCAGTCAGCCCTCATCCAGAACTACAAGAAAAACCCCAACTTCAGCACTTTGGTCAAGTGGTTCGAAGTGGTGAGTGTTCCCTCTGCGCCCTCAACTGAAATCCAGATTTTCTGGAGCCCAGACCATGGCTCCTGGCCCCTTGCTTCAGTTTCCCCATGGCAATGGAGGACGTGAGCACCCTCCCAGCCGGTGATGACCTTTCTCAAGGGTTCCCAAGCCATGCTTTGCTGGACCTGCTCTAGACCTCTGCTTCCAGCATGATCCCTGTTTTAGTCCTTACTGGTCTTTCCAGCCACCAAAGTAGACATCCCGGAGCCCAGCCCTTGATAACCAGTGCACCTTTGCTTCCCAGGACCTCCCGGAGAATGAGCTGCTCCATCCACCCCTCAACATCCGGGTGGTGGACTGCCGGGCCTTTGGGCGTTACACCTTGGTGGGGTCCCACGCTGTCAGCTCCCTCCGAAAGTTCATCTACCGCCCACCGGATAAGAAAGCCCAGCACTGGAATATGACAGGTACCAGGTTTGGGCCGTGGGGACCGGGCTGGTATGGGTCATCAGTGAGGCGTCACGCACGGAGAAGAGGGAGGTGTGGGTAGAGGGTTGTGAGAACGGTGGGATATTGCCTGCTTGTTGGTTAAGCAAGCAGGGCTTCTGGGTTTGGGTCAAGGGGGTGAGAAGCTACAGGGGGTGAGGCCCCACAGGAATCACTCCTCTCCTCCCTGTCCTTGGTGGAAGAGGAGGCACTCATGGCTGGGCAGAGGCAGGAGGTCTCGGGGGGGATTGCCGAGGGCCATCCCTGATTCCAGGCAGAGGTCTGGACCTCTGGTGGTGTCCATGCCAGCTGGTACTTTTGGGGCAATCATCTCCTCTGCCTCTTCTCCTCCGGACACTGGTGCAAGTGAAAAGAAAACTCAATCCTTTCTCATCATCTGCTCTCCTTTGCTATGGAAGGGTTTTCTAATCCTGCTGTAAGGGTCTGTGCTCGTTTCCACTGCTCCTCTTCTCTGAACAAGGTGGTCACACATCACCCCTCCATGAATCCTGTAGGAACTCACCTGAGCTCTCAGTTTCTCCTCTACGCTATCCTTCTCTCTTGTTCTTTCTTTTTCTCTGTCCTCTGTCCAGCTAAGCACCTCAACGGCTATCTGGCCATGACCAACAGGGCCCATCGCTCTCGCCCCACAGGGGAGATTGTTGTCAATATGGAACCTGAGGTTCCCATCAAGAAGATGGAGACGATGGTGAAGCTGGAAGCTGTGAGTATCCGTGTGTCAGCACCGCTTTAGCACCTTTTCCCTCACCGAATTGCCAGTCTCTGAGGGATTCCACCCCAACGGAGGCTGCCTTGCCCT